TTTTTCAGAGTCCTCTTGTTTTCCTTCCTTCCTTTTATCCTCTGACTATGCTCCCCTAATTCTGTTTATTTTTTAGACAGGGCCTCCCTAAGTTGCTGAAACTGACCTCTAACTTGTGATTCTCCTGCTGGAGACTCCTAAGGCACTGGCATTACAGACATGTGCCACTGTGCCTGCTCCTCCCCTGTGTTTCTGTCTTCCTAGGTGGTATCTTGGGTTGGTGAGTTTTGAGATCTTAAATGTGACTTTTTTCTTGCTGTCACCCTTAGACTGGCATCAATATGATGACATAATTTGCATGAAGCCTCCTGGGACCTTCCAGAAATTTCAGAACCTCTTCACTAATAAGATGAAGAAGGAGCTGGTGAAGGAGAAGAAATTAGCAGCTGCAATCATGCTGGGCCGCATCTTTAGCAACCTCCAGACCTGGAACCTCGTCAACCTGCAGAACTTCTTCACCCAGTTCCGGCAGTTTTATTATGTTGTCCAAGAGCCTATGATTTACGAAGGGAAAGCACAGCCCTGGTACAGCCTGGGCCTCGGAGAGGAAGAGGTATCAGACTTCCCCCGGTTACCAGCAGCTCTGGTGTGGGTGGGCAGGGTCCCCTGACCTACTACAGGTAATGAGACCCTGTGACTGACTGGGGCAGCTGCAGAGGGGGCAGGAGGACCTTTCCATCCCTTCTTTTCCTGCTCCACCTCTTGGGAATCCCTTGCCCCCACATCCCTCCTCCTGATTGCACCTCTGAGCCTCACTCCCAGCACTGATCTTGAGTTCTTTCAAGGCCTAGGCAGAGTTGAAAGAAAGGGTGGAGCCCATCATTGCCCCTTCAGCCACACTGTGGCTTGGAGACAGAGATGGCACTGTCTCTGAGTTCGACATTGAGCTCTCAAGAGCATCCAGGGGTCTCCCAGACCCACCTCACTGTAGGGTTTGGGACTGATCATGTGCTTCTGCTGTCCCAGAACCTCAGTGTACATGGGAGTTGGGGAGGCGAGGGAAGTGGGGCCCTCCCCAGAACTCCCCTGCCTCAGGGCCTTGATCCCCTGCCCAAGGGTTCTCCAGCCTCCAGGGCATGCACTCCATGGCTGTGCCTCTTCTTTCCCCTGCATCAGGTGAAGGAACACCTATGGGAGTGTTTGAAAAAGCAGATTGAACCGTTTCTGGAAGGAAAGACTGGGGATGCCCTGCCTGAAGGCTGGCCTGTGAGGAGCAGACTGAGGATGGGCCTGGTCCTCCTTTTCCTGGTGGAAAATGCCAGACTCTGCTTGTCGGATGGTGACTTGACCTTACTATGCTCCATCCTCTACCCTAGCACCTGTTCTCCAGATGTTCTACACAGTGAACTCCACCACATCCTGGGCACATCTGAGAGGTATCCTAGTTGTTCCTTTTTTTTTCTTGGTTAGAGGTTTCATAGCCATTTATCATGATTTTTATCTGGTTATAGAGATAAGTGCTTGTTAGAAAAGTCTGAGCACACACCGGGGAAAAATAAAACCACAGTCATGTCACCACTTGCTCTTGTCACTTTCGTGGCATGTGTGTCATTGCTAGTTTTATTAAATTCTGTGTTCTCCTGAATACCCTGGCTTCAAAAAGCTTCAAAGGGCCAGGAACCATGGCAGCACTATCATCCCAGCTACTTGGGAGGCTGTGGCAGGAGGGTTGCTTGAGCCCAAGAGCTTACGGCCAGCCTGGGCAACTTAGTGGAACTCCATCTGGAAAAAATAAATGAGTAATACAAAATACATGACAGAGTGTTCCTGGGGGCCCCTCCTCTGCCCACTCAGCACGCCTTAGCACTGGGGCCCAGGCCTACCTGCAGGTGTCACCTAGGAAAGCTGCAGAACCCACAGGGATGCTGTCCCTGCTGCTCCACCTGTGCTGGTAGCTCTGGAAGCACACTGCCCCTGCTGGGTTAGCCATGGCCTTTTATGTGGTTGAGGAGACCTCTTCTGAGCTGCTGTGCTCAGAGGATCAGGGTCTCTTCCGCTTCTGTTTGGATTGAGCTTTGGTAACATCAGGTGGCCTTTTCTGAGCTCTTAGCACCTGTGGGTTTCCTAAGTTTTAAAGACCCAGGTAGTTGCTGTGCCCTCTGTGAAAGGGTGACAGTGGTTAGGATATCTACACACAGCTGTGCGAGGGTGTGAGAGAAGGAAGAAGCATCTATTTTTGTACCTGTGGGACACATACCACGTGTTGTTCCTTTTAAAAAGTGGCTTTGTAGCTGGGCACAGTGGCACATGCCTGTAATCCCTCAGACTCAGGAAGTTGAGACAGGAGGATCACAAGTTCAAGGATAGTGTCAGCAACTTAGAGAGGCCATGTCTCAAAATAAAAAAGGTTGGGGATATAGCTTAGTGGTAGAGTGTCCCTGGGTTCAATCGCAGTTTTTTTTTTTTTTTTTTTTAAGTTTGCTTTGTGTTTAGGTCTATCATCGCCAGACTACCTGGTTCAAATCCTAGGCCCTGTGAGAATTTCTTGGCTGGAAACTGAGGGCCCCAATTCCTCAGCTGTGTGGTGTGGGTGGATATGACCCCAGTGGGAGTCTGTTGGGATTTGTGATGTCTTGGTGTACTGAGATCAATCCCAGTGCAGTGCCAGGTCACTTTTTCCTCTTGTCTCCCTGTGTTTCTCAGTCTGAGACTCGGTCTAGGTGTGCCACACCTTGGAATAATGATTCTGCTGAATGCAAGTAGCTTTCCTTTCTCTCCTGGGACATCAGACCACAGAGCAGGTCGGACACAGCCAACCACAGCTCACATTAGGTTTTGGTTCCCTTCCAGATGGCAAGAGTACTTGGTCAACCTGTGCCAAAGGTACATAAATGCAAGAGTTGTCAACTGGCTGGGCATCCTCCCTGTCCTGCACTACTGTATGCAGCTGGTTCCTCCAAGAAAGGACTTTGTGAGCCAGCCTGAGGACATCTGGGATGCCCTCAAGGGAATCCCCTTCTCTCAGTTTCAGGAAAAATGGCTAAATAAGTAAGTTGTAAAGCTGTATTTATATAAGCGCATCTTAGAATAATGATTCTTTAGCACTTTGCCACTGAGCTACATCCCCAGTCCTTTCTTAAATTTTCAATTTTTGAGACAGGTCTTGCTAAGTTGCCTGGCCTGGCCTGAACTTGTGATCCTCCTGTCTCTGTATCAACTGGGATCACAGGAATGGCCACTGCGCTGGGCAGTCTTTCTCATATAACTGTATTAATGTATGTTTACTCATTTGTGTGACAGACACTTAGCACCTCTGTGTGTCCCAGGACA